GTCCAAAAGGTGGGGGGTTATTGATCAGCCTTAGGGGTTTTACCCATCAATTGGCAGATGTCATGGCTCGGATGCATGAGATTGGTTTCCCCCCCTAAACAGGCTGCTTGGTTCATATGGATGCAGGTCCCAGAGAGCAAGACATTCAAAGGCAGATGGACATTTCCAGCCGTCTTAAATGCCCGTGGTCCCTTTGGGAATTGCCCTCTTGGGTGTTTTCCATCTCACACAACTCTACCTGAAAGTTTTTCTGCATTCTTCTGTCATCAGTGGAGATGACCACCCAATGGCAGACTCTCCCATCTTGAGGGAGATGGATGGAGGAGCCCATGGAGACGACTTTCCACCTTCCCCAGCAGGAGGTGGGTAGGGAGAAGGCTGACTCAGGGTGTGCAGAGTTGGCCAGGCTGAAACCCACCCTTGGTTACTAACAGCCTGATGCGTCAGTACTTTCCTTTTTCCCCTCAGGCTCCTTTTACATATGAAACTTGTCTTTTTTGGCTAAAGAGTACGCCAACTGCGTTGGAGTCCATTGTTAATAATAGTAATAATACAGCTCCTCCAACCAAGTAAAAAGAAATTAATTTCTTTCCATTTCACATTTGCACCAGGGTGGAGGTGATGCGGTTGTCACTCATCTGGAAGGAATTTGAGAGGTAATTACAAAAGGCAGAGCTGTGAGCACAAAGGAGCTGTAGCTACAGGTTTGGGGTATGGGGTGATGGCAAGAGGGGGGGCCCCCACCCTGCTCTGTTGATGAAACACAGGGTTTCCAGGTAGCTCCCGGGGGAGTGTCTCCCGTGCACCCTGCAGCTCCAGGCATGTAATGAATTTGCTGCTCTGGTGCAGATACCTCGCTCCGATACGGCCTTTTCCTCCTCCACCAGAGGATAATGTTTGCCCTCGCTCAGGCTGTAGTTTTTTCCTCCTCATCCACAAAAAAGGAGCTGTGTTGGGGCAGGTCCCACCGGGCGAGAGCCCCCCCTGACGTGGCAGAGACCGTCTGCGAGGCTGAGCCGGCTCCGAAACCTTTTCCTTCCCTTTTCCCTCCTCATCTCTCCCGCCTGGGCTGAGCAGAGGGTGCAGGTCCCAGGCCAAGAGTCAGGAGATCCCTTCTCACCATGCTCTAAACCTGGGAGGAAAGCTTTGGCTGGGTTTGGTTCTGGCGTCGCGCTGGTATCGAGGTAAAAACTCTCCTTTGAGAGTGGGGATGTGAATTCTGGCCATTTCAGGGCAATAAAGGCAACTCCAGCCCCTTCAGTGAGAAATCTGTGAAGCCATTGACCAGGGGATACCTCCAACGGCTTTTCCTCACCTCCTCTCCATCCCTCGGCACCGCGGCTCCTCCCCAGCATCCAGTTTGGAAGCCTTTGTTTGAGGATGGATGCCCTTTCTCAGATTTTTAGAAGTGCCTCTGCGTGTTTTGTTTGCAAAAATTCATATATTTATGAAATGTGAGCACGTCTTACTAACTTGGGTTGGTTCACCTGTGCTACCTAATCTCAGTTTAATTATCAGTAAAGTCAAGGCTGTAATTTAGGTTAATTGCTTAAATTAAAGCCTTTGGGTTAAACTTGGGCTGCTAACCTAAATTCAAACCCTACTCATTTTGACCGTAATTTACTATTTCATCCCAAGTTAATGAAGTCCTGCTGGTCACCCTGGGCTTTTTCCACGGGGGGGACCCACGCGGTTCACAGCATCCCAGCACTGCGGAGACGGGGACGGGGACCTCCAAGAGACCTCAGGAGCAGGAGGTGAGTGTCCATGAATCTTATTTCCCCAAGGGATGAATTAGGATGGGTTCCTCAGAAGCTTTCCCATAGGTGTTGCCCGGCACTGGGTGTTGCAGCCCTTTGAGCCTGTTCCCGGCGGTATCTGGAGGCCAGTCAGCCCTAACGAGGAGATGGCTTTGAAGTGTAGGCGTGACCTGCTTTCCCCAGATAATTGTTTTCTGGGCTAGCGCAGAGACACTGATGCAGTTTTGGAATAACTTCACCTTCATTATTGCTGTTGTTGGATGCCGAGCAGGGAGGTCTCATTTCCCCCTGTAGCATCTTGAAAGAACCTCTGGTTGTAGGTGGGAATTAGCTGATAATTCCTTTATCCAGCACTGGTGCTTAGATGGTGGTGCCCAGAGATACCTAAATATCCCAAAATTTCCTTGTAGTGCTTTCTGAGCCCATCTCTAATGCCCAAGTAGGGCTGCTGGGGCTGTGACCTCCACATGGAAGGTGAGACCTTCCGACACCGAATCCCTTCCTTGCTCATGGCCCCAGGGGACGTCTTTTCTCCCGATAAAGAAAACACAGCCCTGGAAGTTGCTGGAAAACCCCAAATTATTTGGGACCAGCTCACGTGGCCTGTCCCCCAGCTCCATCCAGCATCAAGCTCTGCTCCCGGGTCCAGTTCCCTTGCAAAGAGCTTGTGGGAAGTTTGATTTCTCCTTGTCAAAAACAAACTGGATCTGCACAACCCCAGCCCCGGAGCTGGTGAGATGAACAAGGGTTTGGAAAGTATTTGGAAAGTCCTGGAAAGTATATCCAGTCGTGGGGCACCAATTTTATGGGATCTCATGTTTATTTACTGTGCACCCCACATGAGCCCGGAGGTCCCCACTGCCATCCTGCAACCCCCAAATGCTCCGGGCAGGGGGGGATATCACTGCCCTGTTTAAATCCCAATGCTCAGACGTAGCTGGGAATACCGTTCTGCTGCTGGTTTTGCTGCATCCTGTCTTACCTTCCCCACAGCCATTTTGCGTCTTATTTCATTTGCAGGCTTGTGTAAACCGTTTGCAAATTAAAACACAATCATTTTCTTTGATGAAAATTCTGGTTTTGAGTCAAAAAGCTGCAAAGTCTCGTTTGGGAAGCGTTAAGGGGAGAGGTTGCAGCATTCCAAGGACAGGATCATTCCTACAGGAAAGGTTGAAATGAAATGTTGGAGATTTTTTTAAAAAATCTCTCACCTAATGTTTAAGTTCTCAGCTAAAATTACTTGTCAAGTTTGACTTGAATTTTTTCCAGGTCTTCATATCAGGAGGTGACTAGAAGATGATTTTTTGCATCTGCTGACTGAGACAAGGTGCTGGGGTGGGCTCTTAAACACTTCCCATGGAACACAGAGAAGGGACCGATGGCTCCTCGGTGCTGTTTTTGCCTCGGAGTGTCCTCACCCTCGGATGGCAGGAGAAGGACCCGGCAGAAGCCTTGGCCTTGATGGAAGCTTGGAGATGCCCAGGTACTGTGGGGTTGGGGAATGGGAGTGCGGCTCAACCCAGGTTCATGGAGGGTTCGGTGTTGACCCACGTGTTGATGAGGCTGATGGCACAGCAAGGTGTTGTCCACAATTCTGATAAAAAAACAAACCAAACTTACCTTTGACATTTTCAATAATAAAAAAACCAAAACAAATAAATGAACACCCCAACAAAATGCAGTTTAGCAGCAATAGCCCGGTTAGGATGCCCTGCCTGTTCCAAATGCTTTGCTTCACTCTGTTTCCTTAAGACAGCCTAAGAAATGTGGTCACATGCTTGAAAACTGATGCAAACTGTTAAATGGATGAAGCCCAACCTATTCACCCTTCACAAAACCTCCTCTGGTGCGAACGGGCTGCCACGACCTTCCTAAGCCATCCTTTCCCTGCCCCTTCCCATAGAGTTGTAGAACTGTCTAGGTTGTTGAGGTCCAGCCATGATCATAGAATCACAGAATTCTTGGTTGGGTGGGACCTTTCAGCTCATTGAGTCCAATCGTGACCATTGAGTCCAACCATATGCTCTAGAGGGAGGACACTTGTGGGTGTGAGCCCCAGCCCTGGCCCATGGTGGGACCATCAGGGCTTCCAGCACTGGCAGGGCGGCACCGAGCCTTTCTCTTGCTCTGGGTCCCCACCTGCTGGAGATACGACGCTGGGTTGGCCGGTGTTTGCACGCCTCTGCGCAGTGCGATGGGTGTGCAGGGTGAGGAGCTCGGAGGTGTTTCCCCACAGGGAGTGCTCCGTCACACCGTGCACGAGCCGCTTTTGCCTTGCAGAGGTGGCTGGTGCCCCCCTCTCCTCTGACTCCCTGGGGTCCTACCCAGGTGCACCCCAGTTGGAGTTTGCAGGGGCCAAGGGGTGGGTTGGTGGACAACAACCTGGTCCTTTTTGGGACCAGCATCTCCAACGGGCTGTGGGTCCTTCCTCATCTGCTGCCCTCCTGCCCTGGCCCCTTTCCTCACCCTTGGGTCATGCTCCAGCTCCTGCCTTTGGGGCTGGATTCCCACCTCTCTCCGTGCTTCCCAATGGGTTGACGCCTGCTCCTACAGCTTCAAAGGGTGCAAGAGCCAGGGGATCCCCACGGATCCATGGGAGGGAGCCTGGGGACAGCTTCAACCCCGGTTGAAACCCTCTGCCCAGGGAGGGCTTTGAAACCACCCCGGAGGGGCCAGGAGCTGCGGGCACCTCCAATTCATTCAAAATGAAGCTGAGGCCCCAAAACAGCCCTTCCAGGGGAGAAGCTGGGATATGAAGTGAGATATTTGCACATGCCAGGGAAACCTCGGTGTGCGAATACTCCCTGGGCAGAAATTGGCCACTTTTCACTGCGTTCCCCCCGGCCTTTGCCCCCTGTGGTTGCTCTTTCTGGTTAGGGCGATGTTGGGCTGCTCTGTTCCCCTCCCTGTTTGATGTTCTCGGTGCTGAGAGAGATGTGCCTCCTCCGAAATCTTACGTTCTCTGCTGTAAGATTCCCTCCAGTTAACTAAAGGCCGGGCTGGACCTTGTTCCACACGTGAACTGAGGCAGCTTTTCCTCCCCATGCCTCAGTTCTCCACCCATCCCACCCTTCTTTCCACCCTCCCCAGGCCAGAGTCCTCAAACTGAGGGGTTTTTTTGTCCCTCAAGGCAATGGTCCTTTCTCATGACCTGCCTACAGAGAGTCCCCACCGTGGCTGGGGCACAGGACATGTCCATACCCAGGTCAGCAGAGAAGAAAAAGCCCCCAAAACAGCAGATTTTTTTTAAAAATGACAAATGCTCTTTATTGGACCATAGAGGAGGGTGAGGTCTGAGAGTGAAGAGGCTGTAGCTGTGAGGACAAGGAGCTAGAAATCAGTGTGGCCATTCATATACACAGAAAGCAAGAACCTTTCCCACAGGTGCTTGAGGAAACAGAAGGGGCTGGAAAATAAAATCTTGAGTTGCAAAAAAAAAAACCAAAACCCAACACATTTGGAGGTTGTAACGTGGAGGTTGAGGACCCCGGACTGTGGTTTCACAAGGCTGTCACCCTTGTTTTAGGAGGAGCAAAAAGAAGGTGAGTGGCCAAGCACGGCTGTCCCCGTTCAACAAAATGCTCCCACTTGGCTTTAGATGCACGACTCCTGGGGGAGAACGAGGGGAGAACGAGGACCGTGCTGAAAGGGCCACCACCATGGTCCAAAGGGCTCTCTAAAGCCCTGTCGCTGACCTGTTACAACCTGTTCTTTAGCCAAAGGTACTCTGGATTCTCGCAGTGGGGTCCTGGTCTCCCCCCGCTGCCCCAAGGGTGGAGGGTGAAGGACGGAGGAAGGAGAAGCTCTAGCGCAGCTATTTACACTGTTGATTTCGTAGGGCAGCACTTGCTTTTTTTGGAAGGCAGGAAACACGTCGTCGTCATCCGCGCAAGCCTTATCTGATGGTCTTTTTGCTGGTGGTGGTCTTGGAAACGATCCTCATGCTGCCTCCCGTGCTGCTGCTGACCCCTCGGCTGCTCCCGGAGCTGAAGGTGCTGCTTCCACCGTAGCTGAGCCCCCCGCCGAAGCCTCCACTGCCTCCTCCGAAGCCTCCACTGCTTCCAAAACCTCCACTGCCTCCTCCGAAGCAGGCGCCGCCGCCGCCGCTGCTCATGCTGTAGCCACCGCCGCCTCCCATGCCGAGTCCTCCACCCATGCCCAGGCAGCTCCCGCCGCCGTAGCCCATCCCACTGGAGCTGCTGACCACGGCTATGGGGAGACAAGGGCAAACACTCACTGTAGGGTCCTGCCCGAGGTGGGGGGACCGGCACCACCGGGGTGGAAGGTGGGGGAGATACTTACAGACGCTCACGGCTCCAACGCCCTCTCCAGCGAGCCTGTTGGGAAAGGGGGAAGTAAGTAATGATGGCAAAGCACAGAAAAGATGCAACATGAGCCACTAGGACCATCTAATTAGACTTTTGTGGCCTTCAGTAGGGACTGTCCTCTGGTGGGATGTGTCTACATCACAGGTGAAAGGTGGTATTTCTCATTTTTCATAGTGCACCAGGTTGAAGAGCTGGAGAAACTCATCTTTTCCTAGAAAGCTCATAATTTAAACTATCCCTCTCGCTGCCCTTGTTTGCTCTTTTACATCTTCACCAACTGGGTCCTCCAGCCCATTGAGGTGAGCTCTTTGAGCCCAAGAAGATGTGCTCTGCTCTGAAGAGCAGCACCCAACAGGTCCATGTGCTTGTCCTCACCTGCTCTCCTCTCCTTCCAGCAGCTTCCTGTAGGTCGCGATCTCGATGTCCAGGGCCAGCTTGACGTTCATCAGCTCCTGGTACTCACGGAGCTGCCGGGCCAGGTCAGCCTTGGCCTTCTGCAGAGCATCCTCCAGCTCAGACAGTTTGGCCTTGGCATCCTTGAGGGCCATCTCCCCACGCTCCTCCGCCTCGGCGATGGCGGCTTGGAGGTTGGCACACTAAAAACAAGGGGAACAGGTAGTTGTTTAACTTGGGCTACCCCAAACTGCTCTCCGGAGTATTGCTGTGGTATTGTAGATACCGGCTGGTGGCTCCCAGAGTGTCACTGAGAGCTCCTGATGGGCCATTGGGAAGATGCCATGGGGTGGGCAACTGGGGAGCTGAACCCTTATCCATTTAGGGACATGGTTTAGTGATGATTTTTATCAGAGTTAGGTTGATGGTTGGACAAGGTGAACTTAAAGGTCCCTTCCAACACAGACAATTCTATGATTCTATGATCCTGTTCCCCAAGAAAAGGAGAGGCATCTACATCTCTCTGCTTTGCCACCCACTTTTGTTGAGGGTAGCTTAGTAGCTCACAACTTGCTTCCCCAGCAAGAAAGGGGCTGTCACAGCACATCTTTGCACTGAGGGACCTTCTCTGGTGGGCAGAGACAGAGGTGGCTGTGCCCTCTTTCATGCCGGGGGAAAAGTCTGGTCTTCCAGCCCTGCTCAAGTGCCAGGAGCTGGGTCTTTGTGCCGTTCCTGGCCACCATCATCTCCCGCCTGCCCCCCACCACACAGGAGCACCCTCTCTTCCTACCTGTTTCTTCACACTCTCGATCTCATTGCGCAGCCTCTGGACCATCCGGTTGATCTCCGAAATTTCTATCTTGGTGTTGCGGAGGTCATCCCCGTGGCGGCCAGCGGAGACCTGGAGCTCCTCATACTGAAAAGGAGGAGAGCACAGGTTAGACACCATGGGGCTCAGGGAAGGGCGAGGGGACTTCAGGGCACGAAGTGCAGGTCTGGGTGCAGGTTAAGGGGTGGGGGACAACATTCCCCTGAGCAAGCTGCCCGTGGAATAGCAGCATTGCCCTTAATTATCATTATATGCCAAGAAGGCAACTATTGCGTTGCGCAGAGCACCTATGTGTTGTCACCTATTATTAAGAACCTGGCAGGGAAAGAAGAGTGCTCTGGGTTTAAGGTCAGGTCTAGCGGGGACTCTTTGTGAGCCTGGGGTCAAGGCTCTTTAAGCAGTTAAACATCTTGACTCTTGGTTTCACCGTGAGGAACATAAGGCTGGTCAAGGGTAGTGGTCCACAAGCCCACGGTTGAGCTTGTAGGCTCAAGAGCCTACTGCAACATACACAGAAAGATAAATTCATCTCTGGTGCAATGGATCCTTCCATTCTGGATCCTTCCTCCTCTAGCCCTGTCCCCCATCAGCCAGTGTGATGCCCCATGAGTTGCCAAAATTCTGGTTACCCACCTTGTTTTGGTACCAAGCCTCGGCCTCTGCCCGGCTGCGGTTGGCGATGTCCTCGTACTGCGCTTTGACCTCAGCAATGATGCTGTTGAGGTCCAAGTTACGGTTGTTGTCCATGGACAGGACCACGGAGGTGTCGGATACTTGCTGCTGCATCTGGGACAACTCCTGCAGAAGATACAAAAAAAAATTGAGTTGATGGTCTGGCATCTGGGGTGGAAACCATGAGACAAGTGGTGCCTTGGGTGCCTTCTCCACCAAGCCATTTACTCATGTTTTCCCCTGCTCTTTTTCTACCTTTCTACCCTTTTCTGCCTGTGTTATGATATCAAAAAGACAGTGACTACCTCTTTCACCGTGCACAGCACCAAGCATGGTGACCGGATCTCCTGAGCATGGAGAGCTGTATGGAAAGGAGCCGTGGGGGATGCTATCGCTGGGACAACAGACTACGTACCGCTTCGTAGAGAGCTCTCAGGAAGTTGATTTCATCTGCCAGCGCGTCTGCTTTGGCCTGCAGCTCCACCTTGTTCATATAAGCACCATCCACATCCTAAAGACAAGAAAGCCAAAGACTTGTGATGAAACCATAGACCAAAAGAGGCTTCAGGACACCAGGGGGACCATCTCTCTGCTTCCAGGTCTGTTATTCTTTAGGCTTGGTTTTATATTGTTATGATTAAGACTTTTTGGGGTTTTTAATGTAATGTTGTAACATTTTTTGTGAGCCAAACCCAGGTTCTTGGGCAGAAGGTGAAGCTCTGACTCCCGGGGGTGTGACCTGAGACAGAGTTGAACTGAGCCACAAGAGGCCAGATGACCTGCAACTGCCACCAGAGGAGGTGTCTGCTGGAGGGGAGCTCCACTGAATGGAGAAGGTGATGCCCATTCATGGCCTCAGGAGGACCCAGCCCATACCTACTCCTGGACGTGCCACCATCACAGCCTGACCCAGCCCTGGGGTTGGAGAACCCCAGCTCCTCTCAGCTTTGCTTGGACTGGGTGCCTGCCAAGTTAATTTTATTGCCCATCCTATAACTCCCAGTTCCCTCACCTTCTTGAGCACCACGAACTCATTCTCTGCACCGGTGCGCCGGTTGATCTCGTCTTCATATCTGTTGGGATAAACAGGTGAGAGGGTTTGGGTGGGAATGAAGAGCGAAGGCAGCACGATGGAAGCAGAGATGGGACCACCCCAGCTCCAAACCTGGTTGTGGGTCACCAGTATGTCCCTTACTCCCACCTCTTCACAGTCCAGAGCAGACGCAGAGCAAATGATTCCTCACCCCCAAGACCTCATGGGGTGAGTAATCCCAGCTAAAATTAATGGATTTTAATCCCTGCCCTGAAAAATCAAGCTCATGCAGGATCAGAGCCCATTGCTGTAGGAAGCAGGAGGAGAAATTCTTGGTGACCTTTGCCCAAAGAAAAATTCTGCAAAAGGCTTTCATTGAGCTGCGCTGCAATTCCTACAAACATATAATGATGTAACAATTTGATCTTTGATATTATAATAATGCTAATGGCTTCTGAACAACCCGCTGCAGCATTTAATTAAAAAAAAAAAAAAAAAGTCTGTGATTCTTCAGCCCTGATTGTGCAAGAGCAGATCATTGCGCCTCAGACTACGTTTCTGTGGAACTTTTCATGGCTCTGAGCAACATCCTCTCATCAGATAATCAGGGCAGGGCTTCGCTAGAAAGTAGAAAAAACATGTAGGCTCTTGAGGCAAAGACCTGGATTTTGGAGGCAGGTTCGTGCCAGTTCAATATTGGCAGCGATGTCCCCGCAGATGGATCTCCGAGCGGGCACGGAAAGAAGTGGAAATTAGCCAATGGACCGGGAACCATCTCTAAACCAACTCTAAACTTGAAAAAAAAAAAAAAAATTTCTTTTTCCCAGGCAGTAGCTCCAAAATCCAGACAAAATCATTCACCATTTTTGGCCTGATCAGTATTTCTAAGAGCCTACGATGCACATCAGGACCTGAAATGCACCCAAATACCACACACCAGAGGTTGTGTCAGTCCATCCCGTCAGCTCTCAGGGCTGTCTCCTCGGCCTTTCCCCCCCAAGAAAAAAAACCTCAAACTTGTCTCTTCACATGCTTAACTCTCGAACAGAAACATATTTCAGGCCTCCAGGGTGTTTTTCTCAAATTTGCATTTGGCCAGATCTGGTTGAACAAGGCAGAGATTGTTCTCGCCAGACTTTGGCCAACTAAAAACAAAGGGTCTCGTCCTAAAAAACCCACCGAAATGTCCCTTATTGTTATCAGTGTCCTTAAAATGGTTCCTCCCACCTCTGCTGGACACCCCATCTCTGGTGGGGGTTAATTCCCTCCCCAGGGAAGCTGGTTTCTTTGAGGAGCATCAGCGAGAGGAGCTGAGCATCTCTCACGTGCGAGCAGAGGTGGGTTTCCCGGAGCCCTCTGGAAGTGCCAGGATTTCCTTTGCAAAAAGGGAAACGGGGGGTTTTGGGAGCTGGCAGGTTATGGGTGGGTTTCATTCCTTTTTTGCACATCCATTATACTCCTCACAGGCTTTTCTTGTCTCCAAGTGTATTATTTTGGGAGACTCACGGGATCAGACCATTGCCTCCGTTACAGCATGAATTCTGACCCTGTGCATAAGAGCCCTGACGTAACCAGAGGTCATTCTGGGACTGAATTTTGCTTTTACTCGTTTTGCAAACTGGATGAGGAACCCAGGGCCAACACCAGCTGTGGACCATCCAGCATGAACCCCCTGTCCTGATTTATAGGCTGCCCAGGGAGGTGGTGGAGTCTCCTTCTCTGGAGACGTTCAGAGCCTGGACAAGTTCCTGTGCAACCTGCTCTAGGTGGACCTGCTTTGGTGGGGGGGTTCGACTAGATGATCTCCTGCGGTCCCTTCCAACCCCATGTGATTCTGTGAATTTCCCCCTCTGTTGATCACCCATCCTGCAGCTCAGGGTTTCTTACTTGTTCTTAAAGTCCTCCACCATGTCCTGCATGTTCCTCAGTTCGGAGTCCAACCGGCCCCTCTCTCCCATGAGACTGTCCAGCTGCCTCCTGAGGTTGTTGATGTAGGCTTCGAAGAGGGGCTCCAGGGACTTCCTGGTGACCGTGTGCCCTTGCTCTTGCAGGAGGCTCCACTTGGTCTCCAGCACCTTGTTCTGCTGCTCCAAAAAGCGCACCTGGGGAAGGAACACAGACCAGCACATGCTGAAGCCCACGCGAACGACACGCGGGAAACCAGGAAAAAGAGAGATCGCTCAACACAGACAGAAAAGGTCAAGAGACACTGGGAAGACCAGGGGAAAATTATCAGGATCTTCCTAATTTAGGGCACAGGATTCTCACAAGTATGAAAAGCAGTGGAGATGTTAAGTGAGATTTTTTTCAAGCGCCTTTAAGCAGGCTCCACACCTGTATTTGCAATTTTGGGTGTTCCTTCCCCCCCTCCCGCCCCCCACTAGACGCTCAGCCCACCTTACTGGGTTAAACTGGTGTTATCCCATTGAGTTGTGCAGGGCTTTGCCATTTCACAACCGGTAGAAGGTCCATCCAGCCCCCAGGATGTTTCTCACAGGGAGGAGGGGGATTTAATTTTTTAATGAAATAAGGCACTAAGAAAAAATTCGTCTTTTCAAAGAGGTAACATAAGGCAGTTGTTAGTTTTCAGCCAAACCCACGCTGTTTGTCAGCTGGGATTAGTTCAGGCAAGCCCCTAGATCCAAAGGAAGGTTCTTCCTGTTGTTCTTTCCCGAGGCGGCTGCAAACAAGCGTGGCTTGATGTTTTAAGACCAAATTCTCACCTTGTCGATGAAGGAGGCAAATTTGTTGTTGAGGGTCTTGATCTGCTCCCGCTCCTGTGTTCGCACCTTCTGGATCTCTGGGTCGATGTCCAGCTTGAGGGGTGCCAGGAGGCTCTGGTTGACAGTCACTTCATGGATGCCACCAGGTGGGCAAACGGGGAACCCGGGGCCACCTCGACCACCCATCCCAAATCCACTGCCCAGCCCATAGCCACCACCACCACCACCAGCTCCTCCTAAGCCAAAACCAGCGCCTGCTCCACCACCATAGCCAAGACCAAAGCCAGCTCCTCCACCAAAGCCATATCCACCAGCGGCTCCACTCCGTAGACCTCCACCGACTGAGCTGTAGGAAATTCTTTTGCTTCCACCTAGGTTATAGAGACTTCTGCTGCCGAAGCCACCACCAGCTCCGAAGCCTCCTCCACCTCCGGCTCTTCCTCCTCCAACTCTGGAGACAGAGACGGAGCTGAAACTGCTTCTGGTCCCACTGCCACCTCCTACGATAGCAGAGCCTGAGCTAAAACCCCTCATGCCCCCTCCAGTAGATGATCTGAAAGAGATCCGACTCATGGTGGCTTGTTCAAATGGAAATGCAAAGAACAGGAGAGAGAGGGGAGGGTGGAAAAAAAAAATTAGGCTGGCGAATACAAGCTGTGCGGCAGGAAAAGAGCAGAGGGCAATGGAGACAGAAACCCCTGTGATGGGAGAGCTTGGGAGCGTCCTCTTTTATCTGCTTGGAAAACTTGGCACGGGAATTCAGAACTTGACGTGCCTTGCAGCAACTTGCCTTGTCAAACACACCTAGGCTACGGCGAGGCGCTGAAAAATGCATTGTTTGCAGGCAAGAAAGTAACGGAGTGAGGGAGCTCCCCACCCCCCCACACACAT